GGAGGATGCCATCATAATTGGGCCACTTTTATAGGTGAGGCAATAAAGACCTCTCTCTGACTGTTTGGTATTTTCATGAAAGGCAACTTGAAAAAATGATCCATACTATCATGGATTGGTTTTCCTGTATCTCTGGAACACAAATAGTAGCTCTAAATATGAACCACAACAATTGCAACAAAACCTGCTTTGGTGTTTCCAACTTCATCCAAACTAATACATCATATGGCATACATTTCAATTAACTTAGAAAGCAAACCACTTTCAAAAGACTGGTCTTTAATGAACAGACAGTATATCAAAGGACTTAAATACTGCCTTTCAGAGATGACAACTCTAGAAATAAATCACTTTGAAAATAAAAAGCTATCCACTCATTTTGAAGTCCTCAGCAGTTTGGAGGAAAAATTCTTTGGCCTGAAGGTGGATAGAAGCAGGAGGGGGGGTTGGTCACCAAAACACCAATGGAAATACTCATGAACTAAAACACAAATATCATCCCTGCATACTGATGAAACCCAATAATCAAATATAAAGATTTCTGTAAAATTTTGCAAGCGATTCTTCTTTCTTTTTCAACCAAAAACTGGAAGAGGGTGGTGAAAAATCTAGAAATATTCCACAGAACTTGCTCAATTACATAAATTAGAGGTGCACAGAAGTATCCATTCAAATCATTTCAAAATCAGAATAACCCCAGGTTAAAATGGCCTGTCTCTACTGTGGAGAAGCTGTTTTGAGCTCAAAACTGGCTTATTCTTTGAGCATTCTTAATTCAAAATTTTCCCAGAATACTCAAAATAGCCCACTTCATATTTGGATCAAAACATTTTATTGACAAATCATATGTATCTTACTCTGAAATGAATGGTATTATACTCAGAGATATTTACTCTGAAATAAGTCTTAGGATACAAGACTTTTGGGGGGGAATTACCTCTAAAAAGACTTTGTTAATAGCAATGAGATTCTGTTCAGTTTTCCTAGTCTGAGATGATAAGGGCCAGCTTGTCATAAGTGTCTCCTAAATTTCCTTATAGCACCACAATGTCTTGACTGACCCAGTACTTGACTTTTAATGGGGCGATTTTAAGTGCTTCCAGTGAAGCACCTTCTTAAGGCTTTGCTAGGTCTTCCTAGAGTGCTCAGCACCATACAATTTGAGCCCTTGGTGTGTTGAGTTAGCTTGCCATCAGGGAAGCCAGCTCCATCTGGCCAACCGATGCACTCGGTTGGCCAACAAGAAATGCCCTAGAGACCCAGAAGATTACATGGCTCACAAAAGAAAGAAAAAAGTGATGAGAGAGGAACTACTCCCATTTATTTTTCCTGTATCACAACTAAAGTTTTTTAACACATGACTTTAGTTGGCCTGTGATTACATAGCAATAGCATTTAGACTTATATACCACTTCACAGTGTTTTACAGCCCTCCCTTTACAGCAATTTTCAGTCAGCCTATTGCCCCCAACAATCCAGGTCCTCATTTTACCAACCTTGGAAGGATAGAAAGCTGAGTCAACCTTGAGCCAGTGAGAATTGAACTGCTGGCAGTCAGCAGAATTAGCTTGCAATACTGCATTCTAACCTCTGCATCACCATGGATCATATTAGAAAATGAGAACTCCACTAGCAAACAAGTCAAGCTAACATCTGCTTTTGTATTTACAATGAACACTCATTATGCAAAAGAAGGCTCATGTCTTATCAAACAACTTGGTGGCCTTTAGGTATTTATGATTTCAAGTCTTAACAGTCCCCTGCTCCCGGTCATGCAATCTAGAGCTAATGGGAGCTGAAGCCTAAAGCAACTGGATGATGCCAAGTATAAACTATGCCATGCTGAGGTCAAAGTGAGGCTGCTGGCAGGTATGCTGGTACAAATATCTGGATCTGGGCAAACATTAGTTCCCAATCAGGAAATGAAAAGGAGGAATTCAAGTAGAGCCTTCTAAATTGCGAGAAGAGAGATCACAAAAGGTTACAATGCATTGCATAGTGTATTGGGTCTTCTGCTATTCAGTCTATGCTAGGAGCATTGTGGTCCCAATAAGAGATTTCAGGATCCACCTCCCCAAACTAAAATGCCCTTACAAGCAATGTATGAAGTGGTAACATCAAGCCTCCTAACAGTGAACAAAAATTTACTTCCATCTGCAGAGCACAGAAGGGAGACAGAACAGTATCAGAACAAAAAAATAAAAAATAAACATACCCTAATTATTAACATTACCTCTGGGAATCTAAATTCCACCACAAATCATAGAATCCATTGCAAGGTAAAAGAAATGTGCCTTCCACACTGCATTTAAATGAAAAGGAGGTGAAAGCAGGAAAAATCTGGGAAAACAGAAAACCCTGAGCATTATGTTGCATTTGATCTAGCCCCCAAATGAAATCAGGCACAGTTAAAGCATGAATGGATCAAAGACGTGAGAGTGTCCAATAATGGCTCATGTACACTTACAATACTGAAAACTGTTTGGTCCATTAAAGAGTTGCATGGAAAGCCAACTGGGAAGAAAGAAGGAAAATAAAGGACCCAGGAATTCAAAGCCTCAGTGGAGATGAAATATTGTTGTCCAGCAATTGCCACAGAGATGATGATCCAAGGATTGCTTCTTCAGTGCTGGACAGGGTATGGGGGAATCCTCTGAAGTGAATGCAAGGTAGTGCCAATTTCTGTTGATTCAATATATTCTATTTAATCCAGTAATAGATATTGTACTCCATGATCTGCCTCAGGAGAAAACTGAATTAGACCCCCTTCAAAGTCTTGATGCTGGATTCCAGTGCAAACACAACAGCACCATCACACTCAACCCCGAAAGAGGTATCAGAAGCAGAAGTAAACAAAGTAAAAATGTTGAAGACCACATGTAGCATTTTCCAGTGAACTCTGCAATTCCAGGGTTGAATTGGTTGCTTTCATATCACAATGTTACCTTGACCAAATGGACATAAAACCAGCCAAACAAAAATGGCCTAACATCCTGTTTTCATAAATTCCTTAATACAATACATACAACAATACATCTCGTATTATTTAACCCATTCTGTGTTGTTCACCTATGCAAAACCCGACCATCCATGGCTTTATCAAGCCAGCTTAATCAAATGAACTCATTTAGGATTCTTCTTCTTCTTTTCCTGTTTTGGGGAAAATGAGAGAGCATGCACACAATAAATTCAGAACATCTCAGATAGCTCTGAACTGGTCCACTGGATAAACATTTGTGGATCTGTTGCAGGGCTGGTGGGTGAGGAGGAAGGGGGCTGGCTTCATTTTTGAAAAGCATTTGTACAGACTCCATACAGACTCTTCAAATAAATGCTGAGCACACAATCTTATCAGAGTAAACACTTCTTTTTAACAGTTGCACTTTTAAAATGGTATGAACAAAGCAGAATTGCATGACACTGGCATGATTTGTATGTGGCACCAATTGGTTAGCGGTTGAGTGGGCACTTCTTAAAACTGCTCTTAAAAAAACCTGGCTAAATATTCACCACCACATTGCACAGACGTGAAATTTGGCTCTCTGCCTCATCGCATGTTTGCACTTATTCAAAAGGTTGGGAGGATAAACTGTGCAAAAATCAAATAAAAAGACCTAAATTTCCTGTTTTATCTATTAAGTCTGAATGAATATTTTTCCTACATACGAGGTCTTAAAGTAATGCTGTTTTCAGTTTTTACAGTCTCCCATCCAGCATGATCTTGCTGGTTTGAGATTACAGCTAGTTCCCGATTTACAACAGTGTGCTTAGTGACTGTTTTGAAATTACAGTGGAACTAAAAAAGTGACTTATGGCCATTTTTCACTTACGACCCTTGCAGCATCCCCATGGTGATCCCCAGTTCTGTATATCTTGTCAAAGCAATAATATCCTATATTAACAGTGTTGATACATGATCAAAATTCAGACACTTGACAATTGGCTCTTATTTATGAGGGGTCATGTGGTCACATTAGTGACCTTCTGCCAAGCAAAGTCAATGGGGAAGCCAGACTCATTTTATAACCGTGTCACTAACTTTACAACTGCAGCAATTCATTTAACAGCTGTGGCAAGAAAAGCCATAAAATGGAGCAAAACTCACTTAACAAATGTCTCACTGAGCCACAGAAATTGTGGTTGTAAGTCGAGGACTACCTGCATACAGGTTGAAATCCAGCCTCTCTGGAGGGCCATCAAATTGACCAACCTCCTCTTTCAGAGGGAGATGGTCTAATTGATACAAACATATCATGAAATCAGAAATTATAACTATGGCGGGGGCATATGTAAGCATAAGCATGCACTTAACATGTACTGGTGGGAAGACCCTTGCTAATGGCTTGTACCACACTGAAGTCCTAGTTCAACACCTATCATGGGTTCCTTAGAGCTTGCTCACCCACATGTGCACTGTGCAGAAGACAGCTCCAATGGAATTCATTTTATAAGTAAGAAACTAAGGTTTCTTTCTTCTCTGCACTAGTTTCCAAAAATGGAAGGGTCAAGTCTGGATGTTTTTTTTTTTTAAAAAAAAAAATTGGTGTAAGAAACTCGGGACAATTTTTTTTTTTTAAAGGAGAGACATATTTCCAAATCTGAAGTTATGTATCTCATACTTGAGAGCACATTTTCGAACACTGAGATTCCAGGAGCAGAAGAAAAAAAAAAAAAGATTCTCAACTAAGTCTCAGCCAACGTTTACCAGCCGACTTCCATGGCTGGTAAAAAGCACCCTTTAGGATTGTGTGCACATGGATTTAAGCAACAGCGATGTGGAATGTCAGCATTAAAGCAAGAATGGCTGCCAGGAAGAACAGATCCACACCATTCTCAGAACATTTTTTTTTTACATTCAATATATTTCTATTTCCTTCCAATTTATTTATTTTTTCTTAAAAGGGGATAACCCTTCATATGTCTGTGTGTCCCTTTTTAAAAAGTGCTTTTGTGGGTTGTATTTAGAGAGGCACCTGCTGAGATCGCCAATCTCCCTCCCTCCCCCCCCCTTTTTTTCAGGGCAGGGAGACCGAATTATTTTCACTGCCATTAATACCTCCCCAAAGTAAGTGCTAATTTCATCAACAATTCAAGGGTAAACACTTCTCCCCCCTCCCCATCAGAACAGTCACAGCTGTCCTTAAAGCACATTTACAGGCAATCAGAATAATGCAAATAATAATAAAAAGGACCATTATAAAATAACAAGCACTTCACCACATATTAAATAAAGCATGTAATAAATAGGGATGGGGGATTATAACTTCTGTACAGGGGAGCAGATTTTTTTTTTTTCCTAATCAGTATCTCTGAAGAGGTGTCAATTTTCCTAGAAGTTTTCAGTGCATCCTTTGGAAAAGATTCTTGACTCTTTCCTGTCTGCATTTATCGGAGTTCCTTGGAACAGACATGGTTAATGGCAATGGAGAGGCATGAGTGATTAACACCTTTTCAAGTGTGTAAAACACTTGTAGCTTCAGTTTTGTGTGTGTGCATGTCAAGCAACCACAACAAAAAGGGGCATTGATAAAGGCACAAGGAAATGTGAAAGTAAAATGGAGGGACGGAGCATGATTTTTCTACACCAAAGGGACCTTCCTATAGCAATGATTTACTCTAAAACCAACAGCACTGACCAAGGTCTGTTGTTAACATCTGAGAAATTGCTGAGAAGGACAGAGCAGGAGCTTAAGTATTTCCTGTACTGTTCTCCATTCGGCTTTGTGCTAAGCCAAAGCCTGCAGCATGTTCCAAGGATGGACTTCTTCTCCTAGGTGCCCCTGCTTGTGGGGCTGGCTCTCCTGACAGGTTCCTTCTTCTGGTGGAGAGCTGGTGAGAGGACTGGCTGAATGAATGTTCCAATAGGCAGCCCATGCTGCTGCTTCGGTCCAGTGACTGCGTGGGGATGCTTGAAATAAAAGTGCAGTTGGATCTGAAAGTAGTACATGAGCTGCCACCATGTTTCTTCCCCTTCTTGGTGAAGGGTCCTTCCCCATGAGCCAAAGGCTTTGAAGAATACTCCCCCATTGAGCAAGAACTCATCTGGGTGGCCGTACAGCTCTCCTGCTCTGAACTACACTTTTTTACCCTGTATCCCTCCTTGGATTGTATTTGCTGAAGTTCACTAGTTCTTGTTTTCTCTTCCATGTAGATGCCGCTTTGAAGTGGCGAAGTGGCCGATGAAGAAGGAGCTTCATATCTGTTTGGAGTTTCTTTGCCCTTGACTTTCATCTGGCTGAATTCAGAAGTGCTACCACCAAGTTCAAAGTAGCTGGCCTGTAGGGACATCACTGATCCATGCCCCAAGCTGGGATGGCTACTGGGCCTTGCTTGGACCATTTGGATGCCCCCAATTGGGATCATTGGGCAAGGGCTCCTGGGTAATTGCTGGGAGTGCAAAGGGAGATGACTAAAAATATGGTCTTCCACTCGATCCGGAGCATGAATGGGTACTTCATGGAGCGAATGCAAAGGTCTGAAATAGAGATGTTGAATGATGCCTGGTGAAACTGTTGGGCTCCTGGACTCTGTCTTCTGCAATGACAAGAGGCATATAAAAAGTCAACTCTTTAAGTCTGGAGTATACAGATGTGGACACAAAATACTGGCTTACTTTAATAAGGCATTCTTAATTTAGAAAAACAAGATGACTCAAAGGAGACAAACTAAAAGAACATCTTCCATTGTATGTGGTTATCCTTCTCTCTTTCTATGCTGTATGTTAAAACACAACAGAAAACAAAAAAAATTAACACCCCAAAAGAGCACATCATGAAAATGACAGTTTTGATCTTAAGCTGGGCAATATCCATTTCCAAATTCCTGACCCACCACTTGAAGAGCAAGGAGGTAAAGCAGGAATGGGCAATATATGGGTCTTCAAATATTGCTGACCTTTATGTCCCATCATCCCTAGCCAGCATGGCCCATGATGTGAGACAATAGATGTTGCAATGAAAAAAAACATCTGGAGGACCAGATTTTACGCATCTCCAAGCACAGCTTACCAGCTTAGGGTCTTCATGCAGCTCTGTATCCTTGTCAAGGGACCTGTGAGGTAGAGGCACCGAAGATAATATTCCATAGTGAGTTTTACTTAAGTTTTGTACTTTTTCATCTGCTGCCACTTGGCTCTGAGAAGGCAACTCCTCTCTTCCTGGGAATGGATACCATGAAGGTGGCTCTGAATAGCTCTGGGACAGCATTTTCTTCAGAGATAAGTATCTAGATGATGACATTTCCCTACTTGGAGAGACACATCTCACCGGAGAAATCCCTCTTGCTGGCGGAAGGTATAAGGGTGATGAGAGCTCTGTCTTTGAAGAAAGGTATCTGCTTGGTGAGATCTCAACTCTTGGTGATGAATTATAGAAGACAAATGACTCTCTCAGAGCTTGGTGACTGGAGGGCATTTCTCCAGTATATGACAATCTTTTTGGTGAAGTTTCATTTTTGGTTAACAGATGCTTTTGAGTCAAGGACCGGTTGTTTCCACTACTGCTAATCCCACAGTCCTTGCTTTGGGAACACTTCCTTCTAGGCGCGATATCTTTGGAGACTGACAAATCCATCGCTAAGAGCATCTGCGGTCTTCTAACAGATTCCTTCTCAGCCGAAGTTGAGAGCACACCGAAGGACTGAGCTGGTCGATGAAGTCTTAACAAGCTGTGGCACACAGCAACTTCACAGCTGTCAGCTGACCATTTCATTTCAGGCTCTAAGGAGGCAGTCTGGGAACAATGAACAGTACTCTCATTACCAGAAGGAACATCTTCTACTGCAGACAAGGTTGTCTTGGTACCTTTTTCCTGGGAAAGGAGAGAACTTAGTAGAAAGTTCCCTGGAAGGGAAGTATTCTTTGTTTCAGAAGGCTTTCCAAGTGATTCCTCTTGGTTATCCTCTTCCTCTTCTTCCTCCTCATCCTCTTCTTCCTCATTATCATCATCATCATCATCATCATCATCATCATCATCATCATCATCATCACCAGACTCTTCCAAGTCTGAAAACTGGTGTTCAAGTAACTCAGATCCCTCCTGTCCTTCTGAATCTTGGAAGAGATCTTCAGTGGTTCCTAAAAGATGGAAGCAGAATAAAACAATTTATCAGATAAGGATATATTAACACATGTATACATATTCATATACACACATATGTACAAATTTCAGGACAAACAACTCCTGGGAGATAATTGGAGGGAACTCCACTATGTTCTGGATTAATGAGGGAGCACACGTCAAAGGAAATTAGAAATGTAAATTTCATTAAAAGTGCAGGTCCATCTCAGACTGTTTTCAGCAGAATCTAAATCAAAACAGGATGAAGATACTGCTTCTGCCACTAATACAGATTTTACCTATCATAGACACTGATTATGGGCTTTTTTCCATCTTCCCTTTCCCATTCATGCTGGGAGAAGCAGGGAAAATAATCATGTCCAGGGATAGTTCAAGGAGGATCAAATGAGGCTTTAATACACACAACTCAAAGATTCCTACTTCTTGAAAGATCCTGGAAAATTGAAATAGAATTTTGTTTATCCATTCACTCAATCAATTTGTACATTATAACCATGAAGTCTATTGACATTTTACAACAAAACATAACCGAAGGCAACTAAAATGTTCATGGTGAGAGACTAATGAAGTAAAATATTTATACATTACAACAAATATTCAATTGGTTGTCTAAATTCCCATAAGCTATCTGAAACTATTCCATTTTCAATAGCCTCTGGAAAACTAATAATTTCGGATAAATATGTTCTCCAATGGAAGAGTTAGTGGTAAAAGGAAACCAGGCTGTCAAAGAACACTGTGGCTGGACACCATCAAAGCTGATGCCATCCAGAACCCAGAACAACTTAAAGAAGTACTACAAGATTGGAAGATGTGGAGAGACCTGGCCCATAGAACCACCAAGAATTGTACATGATTGAATGGATATCATCATCATCATCATCATCATCATGTTCTGCAAAGAAACGCTCTTCCAAAATACGGGCTTAATCACTAAAAAGCACTATTTGCAATTCTCACCCACCCAACTCTGCAAAAATGGGAAACCAACAGCAGTTTCTTCTGGAATGCTTAACCCTAACCCTACCCAAAACAGTAGCTAATTCTGTTTGGAAGAAGTGATGCCAAACAATAGAGGACTTTAAAATCAACACCTGAGTTGTATCCAAAACCCAACAGGTAACCTGTACAGACCACAGAGCACCAATGTAATATATTCCTGGCAACCAATATAATGTGTTCCTGCAAACCATCAGGCTGCTGCATTCTGAACCAACTTTAGCTTCCAAGTGGTGGTCAAGGCAGCTTGGTGTACAGAATATTGCAATAGTCCAAGCAGAAACTGATGAGGAAGCAAGATACTTTTGCTGCCAAAAGGGCCATAAGATGAAGTGAGCAAAGGCCCTTCTGGCCACAGTCTTCAACTGCCCAGCTACCTATGAGTTTACAAAGACCTTGAAGTTTTGCTCCTCTAAATGTGTCTCCAAAACCAATGTATCAGTCTGGACCAAAGGAAATGTTGTCTCAAAATCTCCCTACATCAGCCTGGCTAGTAGCCAGGTCACCTCATCAGGCCTGTGACAGCACAGCTGTTCTTCAAGGCCAGAACTGAGCTGTTTTTTCTCATTTACTCACTCAGTTGGTTGGCTCATGTCAACAGAACAGCCAGCAAGGTCACTAAAACTCATACGCAGCACTCTCCCTATATTAAAGAACCATTACAAAAACATTTAAACATATTTTAATACCACAGAGCTACTTAAAATTAAAATGGGTTGCTTTTTGAGTTGAAAGTTGAAAGGCCTGGAGACTAAAACATATGAAGAACAGCTGCAGGACTTCAGTTTGGCTAGTCTAAAGCAGAGGTCCCCAACCTTTTGGGCACCAGAGACTGGTTCCATGGAGAGAGTGTATGGTTTGTGTGCTGCCTGCATCCCGAGGATGGTGCTTTGCTTTTTTGTGCGGACCGGCTGCTGGCATGTTGTGGCCTGGTATTGGTCCACGAACTGGGGGTTGGGGACCCCTGGGTCTAAAGAAAAGAAGAAATAGGGGTGACATGATAGCAGTGTTCCAGTATTTCAGAGGCTGCCACAAAGAAGAGGGGGTCAAATTATTCTCCAAAGCACCAGAGGGAAAAACAAGAAACAATGATCAAAGAGAGAAGCAACCTGGAATTAAGGAGAAACATCCTAACAGTGCAGACAATTAACCAGTGGAAGAGCTTGCCTTCAGAAATCGTGGGCACTCCATCACTGGAGTTTTTAAAGAAGGGACTGGACAGTCACTTGTCTGAGATGGTATAGGTTCTCCTGCTTGAGCAGGGGGCTGGACTAGAAGACTTCCAAGGTCCCTTCCAGCTCTATTCTATTCTCCAGCATGATTGGATGGAGAACCACGGATGGGTTGTCTTAATCTATCTGCTCCAATTAGACTAAGTCTGAAATTTAGTACCGCCCCCTCTGTGCCAACTGCACCCCAGTTTTAGACTTAGTCTCTTTGCTCTAAGATGCGTTTTTTCTTCGCTCCTGGAGCAGAAGACTGTGTATTCCTATTTTATTTCATCCCAACCTGTAGCCTAGCAGGCTGACAGGCTGACAAAACCTCCCTTTGGGGGGGGGGAACTTTCCCTTTCTCCCTTTGAGAGCCTTTCAGCTTCACAATCAGCTTGAAAATTGGATTCCCAGAAGCAAGAGAAATCTCCTACCAGGGGCCGTTCCTCTGCATCAGAGGCTCCATTCTTCTAACCAGAGCCTGGAGGCCTTAGAGGCAGGGGTAAGCTTGCCAATTGACTGGGGGGCTCCGCAAGGGACGACGAGGCTCATCAGGCCTGGAGGGAGCCTTTTCTAGGTCCCTCGGCCTCAGCAGACCGCCCCAGCAGCAGGAGAAAGTTTTTGGCACCGATCCAATTTTCAGAGCCTGGAGGCCTTACTAGGCCTCGGTCTGCCTCAGCCTCTCTCAGCTCACCTAATTGTAATCCATTCCCTGCGTTAGGAGCCCAAGCGATTCCTTGGAATGAGGGCTCATTGTAGCTTAGGCCACAGGCCTCAAGGCCTTCTTCTTTTAATGGCCTTTTTTTTTTGGAATCCATTCGCTGCGTTAGGAGCCCAAGCGATTCCTCGGAACGAGGGCTCATCGCAGCTTAGGCCTCAGGCCTCAAGGCCTTCTTCTTCTAACTGCCGTTTTTTTGGCGCGAACTCTGCGGCCGCCATTTTGAATTGACTCACGGCGGCCATTTTGTGTGTGACTGAGGCCCAGACTGCCTGGAGTTTCTCCTGAAGGCAGTGTTCATCACCGGTGACAGAGGCTTCGAGACTACAGCGTTGAACCGGGGAGGGCCTGTTCGCTCCCAAGGGACGCGGTGCCCATTAATTCCCCGCCCACCCCCCTCAAGGGCTGAATCATCTCTGCAGGCTCCCTTGGTGAGTTACAGCGCCGAGGGGGGGCGTTTTGCCAAGGTTGAGCCCAGAGCAACTCATCATGGCAGAGAAAATCAGCGAGCCGGCCAAGAGGAAACGCCAAACAGAGGCAAGTGGAAAGAACACCACCAAGTGAGCCCGGCCAAGCAGGGAGCCACAGAGGGAGGAGGAGTCCCAAAGACTGAGAGCGGCCTCCCCAGATCTGACAGGCACGATGGGAAGGTCCATTTTTGAACCCCTTTCCTCACATTGTGCCTCAGCCCCAGGGGCCTGGTCTTCCCCCAGGGGAATTCCCCAATTAGATTTAACCACAAGAGTGGACCCAGGGAGGGGCACAACCAACCAGGACACCCCAGGACCCCAGGCCACGTTCACCCCCACTACAGCAGGGCTTCGCCCTCCTGAGAACCAGGCCTTGAACCCGGACCTCCTTCAGTCCATGATAGCCCAGGCTGTGGCTCAGTTTATGGCCTCCAACACCCCACAGCCACCCCCCCAGACCACGTATCATCCACAATCTCCAAATTTGATGGAGGATCCCTCATCGGATTTGGAATCTACAGGGGCTGAACAATCTGGCCTGATTTTGTTTGAGGACGAGGGCATCACTCCCTCTGACCCCACCCCTCCTGTCGGTCTCTTTGACCATTCATTCTTTAATTCCCTGCTACTCAGGGCCTGCACTACTGCAAACCTCCCCCAAGAACAGGAGACCCCACCTACAACGTCCAAGGGTCCCCACGCCATATACACCGAGCCCTCAGTCTCGCAGAACAATATTCCCTGCCCTCCCCTTTTTCTGAATATAGTTCAAGAACAATGGGAGAATTTAGGATCCTTCTTAAGCCCCAGTGCAGTAGAGGGAACATTATTCAATGTTGCCCATTCTCTGGCCTCCCTACTGGAGATTCCTGAGATTGATGAGCCTTGAACTCATTGTTTCCCAATGCTAACATCCCTGGGGACATAAATGAGGCACTTAGGGCGGAGGATAAAAAGATTGACTCCGCATTGCGTAGTTCCCATCTGGCATCAGCCTGGGCAACAAAGGCGGCAACGTCCATGGCCTTCTTCGCCAGGGCTTCAGCCCTTGGGTTACGTGAGCTCCAGGACAGGATCCCTCCGGACCAGCTCAGAGCTCACCAAAATCTGGGTAAGTTAGTGGCTACATCCCAGTACCTAGCCGACGCTTCTCTGCACATGGCTAGATACACTGCCAGACCATCGCTGCAGACATCTCAGCACGAAGGCTCCTTTGGCCCAGGAATTGGCGAGCAGACACCAAGACCAAGTGGCGTCTGGCCTCTAAACCTTACACAGGTGGACATCTCTTTGGTAAGGCACTAGAACCATACTTAACTGAAGGTAAGGACAAACGTAAAACTCTGGTTAACTCATGTCACAGAGCAGTTACAGGAGGCTGCCTTTCGACCAGCTCCATCCTGGGACTGGGCCCAGGCATCCCTCTATTCCTTTCAGAGACAAGAACGACAGCAGGATCGTTCAGCATGCAGAAGCAGACCACAGATCCAGGCCAAGTGGCCCCTTCAAGGCTGAGGGGCCGTTCCTCTAAACGAGGCAAGTGATCTCACAGTCTCACTTCCCATAGGAAGCCAGCTGGCCCCTTATTCCAGCACTTGGGCAGTCAACCATCACTACAGATGCATGGGTGTTAGACACTGTCATGCAAGGTTTGAGACTACAATTTTGTTCTCAACCACCTGACAAATTCCGCTCTTGCCCTATCCCAACGAGCAGGTCCAGGGCTGACTTTATGTCAGAGGCCATAGCTCATTTATTACAAATACGAGCAATTGAACCAGTACACAAGACCAAGAAGGACGAAGGTTTTACTCAAACCTCTTCGTCATCCCTAAGACTTGGGGGGCTGGAGGGCAATCTTAGACTTGAAAGATCTAAACCTTACTT